ATATATATATTGTGAGCAAAGGATGCCGCTTATCGTTTGAAATATTACACTTCGCAGCTGCAGTCCAGCGAGGTCTCAGGAATCGTTGGGAATATCGCTGGACCAGCGGCTTCGAAGATATAATTGTAAGAGGGCATTGGAGGATTTAAAGTTGTAACACCCGCCTTCCGTTTGAATGATCGAATGAGAAGCAATGATGGAATATATCTGCGAGGGTGGGAGAATAATTTCCCCAAACTCAAGGATATAGTCCGGGCTTCAAGGAGGACTTCTAATTTGGTGATTCCGACGGATAGACGTGTTCTGCAAATAATATATTAAACCAGTAAGCAATTGTAATGTGTGCAGTCGCATTATCATTACCCTTTGTCTCATAATCCAAGACCCGTAAACGATCCTGAGGAAGACTTTCATTGCCACCGGAACCCAATCAACAACAGAAAATAAAGGGCGTAAGAGCGGTTGCACCCCCTCTCTCTCTATATGTATATATATACACATATATGGTGTCTCCACCTTACCGTGGTGAGGGGGTTTGAGTATGCCAAGGACCCTGAGAGCTATACCAGCGGTAGCGTAGTTACTGGCAGGGCCTCCCTTGCTGGACAGATCAAAGGGTAGGCATCAGACGAAGAGAGACACCAAAAACCAAAAACTGATGCCGGAAGCAGCGTCATCAGCAGCGACTTGAAGCACAGAGCAAATGATGCTCGAGATGGTTCAAGTTCGTATAGCAACAGGCGTGACCAGAGTGGTTTGAACGGCTGTTGTACTGCGATGTGGAAAGCAAATGGAAAAACTACCACATTATCACTTTTCCTGGATAGTCTCTTTCCAAAAACAGAAGATCGCATTAAGTGGAGAAACTGTTTTGGAAGAGACTGTGGACCTGTCATCTGACAGATTACTGATGATGATGATGATGATATATTTCCCTTCTTTCAAGTCTCGAAATGTTACAATGGTCACATTGCCATGACTCGGTCGCCAGCGTTTCGTTTGCGATAACGCGAAGGTAACAATTACAATGCACCAGAAGTTCTGCATTGCATATTACACCCAAGAGAAGTCGTGACCAATTTCAGGATATCGCTTCGGGCAACAGTTAGACTAATACATAAATACAGATACAAATTCCGACCCCTTTTCGAATCCCCAAATGTTCCCATCTGAAGGGGGCATCGCGTAGGATCGGCAGTCGGGGCACGTCGCGAGATGTCGCCAGTGGCACGTTCTGACGGACAACTCAGGAGTGTTGACATACTTTCCACGAAACTGCTATGATAACGCCCCGAGATTAGACATAAACAGCCTACACGCGCTGGACTGTAGTCAGGAAGTTGAGCTAAATTTGCTCAGGGGCTGTCATTCGTATCTCCACACATTCAAAATTAATTTCGATGAGTAATTACGCCGATCACAGTGGGCGCGCGGTAACGCCTTGCGGTGGGCTGATCCCCCGCCCAAAGGGTCCTACCGACTGTCTATATGATTAAGAAACTGTAAAACAGAGGCCAAGCGCCCACAGATTAGAAAAATATCAACCTCTTGCAGAAGCTGCGCGATTTTCCCCTTGACACAACCAGTTTATTGTTATAATGCAAGAGTTTTGTCCGACTGCTGGCCAAAAGGCGTGTCCCGAAATCTGGAGGGCGGGACGGCGCTGGGTTGCGAGCTTTGAGAAAGGGCGCCTAGTTTTCAGGGGGAGGGGGTAACCTATGAAGACATCCATTTGTATTCATTTATTTCGCTTTGTTGCAAAGTCAGGTGCGAAGAAGGGCCGTATTTTGTATCACACCTGAAGATTCCTGTGGTCCTATCCCCGAAATACCACTGATATGCCTGCCCATTAGAATTCTACAGCAGACAGACGCTCCGCGCAATGAATGCAATCCAACGCAGGCCCTACAAGTCTACCAAGCAATTTAAATGCGCACGCACATCCTGCAACAGAAACAGCGTTCCTACTTACCGCTCCAGTGATACGCGCAATTGTTTTGCGGGCAGTATCTACAGCAAACCCTCGCTACTCCGTTCACAGTTACCCCGGACCGAAATACGAAAAATGCTCTTCATAGTTGAGTACATATTTTAAAAGACACGTTGGATTTAGGAAGGCAGATGAGTCACTTGTCTGTTCAGACAAAACTTGACGGTTTCTGCAAACCTGCATCATTTCGTTCAGAAACAAGTACAGCTTCTGGGTCTTCTAGCGGTGAATAAATGCATTGTCTTTTTATGGTTTCTAAATAAATGCTCTACGGTGATGTTTTGTTATTTATTTTCATCAGCACTGCTTATGTCATTAAATTAACGATTTATTTGTTTTCTAAGTTTTTCTGTCTTTTAGGGCTACTTTTGCTTCATTAATCCGGACTGTCGCTTCAGATTAGCGAGGGTCTACTGCACTCCTTTACGTGTGATGGAACGGAAACCGCATCATCTGAGACCAGGCAGGAGTACCCGTTCTATAGCAGCCGGCGTAACATTCAACCCAAGAGATTAAACTTTACTCGCGTAATTACATAAGAAGGACTGGGTACGAGGATACACTTCACCGCGAGACAGTGCAGCAGCTATTCACAGACCTCAAGAAAGCCTATGGTTCCGTTAGGGGGAAGTATTGTACAGTATTCTGATTGAGTTTGGGGTACCAATGAAACTGGTCAGGCTTACGTGGAACGTACAGTACACTTGGTCTAAACGAAGGAGATGCTTTAACGCCATTGCTTTTTAACAGCCAGTTACTGCCATGCGACTGGCGACAGGGAGCTGGTGATAAGAATATAACGAAATCATTCCAGTTTATTGTTACTTTTGGGGGGGTGGTTATTTAACGACACTCTCAGTATCTAGACTGAAAGGATTTGGAAGGAGTCAGTCATAACCTAATCACGGCACTATTTGCCTGCAGGGACTGAAGAAAACCACGAATGTCCACAGTCAGTATAGCCGGTACCCCTGGCCGAGAATCGAAACGAGCGCCTCTTGAATATGAGTATAAAGCGTTATCTCTAGACCAGCTTGTTACGTTTCCAAACATTTGTCCTTCATCCAAGAGTCCGCACTTCACGCCCAGCTACACGAAGAAACGGAAAGCACGCAACAGGCTCGGCATCGTGTGACATGGGCTGAGTGAGGAGAGCCGTCACGTCACACTCCAGAAAGTGGAACAGTCAGTTCGTGGTGTGACGTTCATCACCACATCAACACAAGCCCTGGCTTGTCTCCTGGACCTTCCGAGTAATTCTGTGGCCACTGACCTTCATTGCTAGAGGCACCTACACATGACAAACGGCAACACTTCTGACATCGGTGTGTTGCGTGTAGCCTAAGCAGTCTGTGACGTCACTAAACGGGGGATAGATGATTGGAGTTCGATTCCTTGCAAAGGGACGAACTTATCTACCCGCTATCACTGTGTCCAGACAAGATCTGTGGTACTCTCAGCTTCCTATCCAATGAGCTAGGGGTATCGCGGCCGGAGCCTAAAACTAAACACATCAATTCCATTTCGAGGTCTAGAACGCACAGGTATACCTTGACGCCCCACACTGCACCACTCACCATAAGACTGGCTGGTTTCGTATGTCTGGGTTGTAATACCGTGTAGTCTGGTAGGAATATGCTGCCGCCGTTCTACTCTGAAGACGGATGCGATATGTTCCCCGAATCGCTGGTATCCAACTACCAGACTAGACGGCGACAACCCTCAAGACCACCTCTCCCCCAGGTCCCACTCAGCTACGGTCTGTAATAGACGTCCGAAAAGTCCGATGGCAGGCAACGACCCTTCGGGCTGCGCAAAAAGCGGGGAATTTCTTGACTAGCTAAACGACTATTAGCTTCTCAAGGACCCTGACTGAGCATCGTGGTCGAGGGTCAGCACTCGTTCTTCGTATTCAGGAGGCTATGCTGGTTCGGGGGTTTTCAGGTTTTTCCACAGGCTCTCCAGCCAAACGCCGGGATATTACATCGAATTAGGCTACGGCAGCTTCCTTACAGATCCATTCCAATTCATAATTTCCTGTCATCCCATCACTCGACGCTGTAGAACCTGAGCTACCACTGAGAGCGTCGTTACAGACGTTGCCAACTCATATGCTGTGATTATCTGTCAACTGACGCTGCTTACTGATACAACGTCGGCGAACAGTACACCACTCGGCCACTCAGAATCTTCACGAAGACTCACGACCTCGCTTCTGGTTATAAAATTTTCCCAGCTAGTTTCAGTGACGTAGGCGGTGACGTCAGAACACGTCTAGAAATTCCAGACATCGCAGTCAGTAGACAGTCGGGCTTTAGATACTGAGGTGCGCGGATGTTGCGGCAGTGTGACCACAGTTCGATGCTTTCACAGTGCAGTGTCCGTGTAACGTAGATCGCCCTGAAGAGGACACCTGAAGACAGCGGCGCGCGCTGTCGGTATGTAAGTTGACACATGCAGTGTAGGCTTATGGGTCATTTAACGACACTGATTCAACTACATAAGTTATATAGCTTTGAATGGCCAGTAGTTACGGATTTGGAAGGAGGTGGTCGTGGCATATTTACAGTTATTACTCAGGAATTCTCTTGGAGAGACTGAAGGAAACCTGGATCAAGTTGCGGCGTGGGAGACACACGCAATCACTGGAAGTCTTTGGGTGTCCCTCAATGTCGGTCTGGACACAACAGCGGATAGAAAATGCACGGGTAGCCTAACCATCCAGGCGCCTTCGCTTACTTTTGCTTAGTTATCTCGAAAACTGCAAGACGCGTGTTTAATGTCGCCCCGATAAGCATGTGGCAAGATGCGGGTTCACGCAAAGTGTCCTTTTGTAAGGAAACTGGGGTGCGGCGGTGGCTGTGTGGACAGACGGACAGACATGTTGCGAACGCACGGGCGACTGGGCCCTCAGCGCTTGTAAAAAAAACCGAACAAGTCGAGAAAGCTGCAACAAATGTGTTCCTAGCCATTTTTCATGTCTGTGGCCTTGACGTCATCTACTGCTGCAAAGCTACTACTACTACAGGTTACCACACTCCACGGAACCACAAACTCTCATACCCCTGTATTCCGTGAAGTATTCGTCACACCGAAAAAAAATGGTTTAAGAAAAGCTGCAGGACTTCGGCCTGTTCGAGGTTGTGTTCCAGTCTCTTGTACGATAAGTCCTTTTTTTGAGGAACGATAGACCTGGATTTTAGCTTCACACAAATTGGGGGATGGGCGTACTGGACGGATACAGACCAGAATGCCCCCCCTCCCCCTTCCAGAACATTACCCACTGAAAGACTAGCAATAGACATGCAACAGACCACTCTAGATTTGCATTCGGGAGGTGTTTCGCGGCTTTCCTCAGTCTCTCCAGGTAAATACTGGGATACCACCTCGAGTGCGACCGTGCCTTTCAAATCCTTTCCAGTTCACCAGTCGACGCTTCACAACGTCGTTAAATAAACACCGAAAAATCAACCAATGACAAGACTGTTTGCAAAAGGAACGCGTGTTATCAGCACGGGCGTCACGTGTTTACACAGCTACACCTGTTCTGTATGCATGGTACAGTCTGCCACACTCTTCTCGGATACAGCGGCTTGTATTACGATAAAAGTGAACCTACGTTTCGAAGGAAAGTACTGCTTCCATATTTAGGGTCGAACAGCAAGTCACTAGCAAGCGCCCCTACCTGCTCGCTTGATTTACTCTTCGATCCTGAAGATGGAGGCAGTACGTTCCTCCGAAACGTCAGCTAACTTACACGACATCACATCCCAGAAGGCGGTACCGCTGCGAGAACCTCAAGTCCAGCTCTCTCGAGAGCACAGGTTACGTATGAATGTCCCTATGTCTAAGCCCTACATGACGGAGCAGGAGACGGGCCAACTTCGCTCTCCGCCGCTGTACCCGACCGCGGCGCCCCGGTGACAGAGCGAACAGTGACACTTTCCGTCGCGGCGTCCAGAAGGAGTTGCCAGAGTTTAGCGCTCGCAGAATGGAGAAGAGATACGCGATATATTCACTGATGTAGGTTACCTGAACAACACCCGAAGCACGTCTGTGTTCAACGGGACCGGGGCACGGCGATTGGCTTTGGTTCCCGTCGTGCGTATAGAATAGCTCTCACTACGTAACGGTCTGTCACCACCTGGGGATGACGCGTCCTCAGAGATGCCGTACACAAAGGCTAATACGTGTCAGAAATGTTAGTCCTGTTATCTGCTTGAATATCCTCTACAGACATTATGAAACCCACATTTCTTTGCTGTTACGTACACCCTAAATCATAAAAATAAACCAGACACCCTTTAAACCAATGTGGTAATAATGTGCACCACCTGTTTTAACATGCTACATGCTCCGTAGGGTTCTCAAAATAAACAGCGACGGTTTCCCCAAACAGCATCAACCGGTTGGGCTTTGTAGTGGTGACGTAACGTGTTTCCTGTGAGGTACGAGCTGGATTCTTATACAGATCGAAACATCCTGTAATATATATGAAACAAAGACTAAGTGGTTCTTAACCAGTCGTCTACGAGGTGTTGCATTTACAAGACTATCAAGTGCCCAGCTAATGCATATAATATTGCGGAGTCGGTTTAAATTCTCTTCGCACTTGATCAGAGAGGTCACCCCCTCCTCAAAGCAGCCGACAGTGGGTGGGTCACTCGGACTCCGTGTGCTGGAGCTCACCACAGCACCGCTCCCTAAATACAGCGTGTATTGCCGTTGCTGCGGTGCCGAGGTCAGTAATGGTGAAGCTATACCTTCTTACTGTTGTTGCAGGTCGCCAGAGGTCAGCACCTGGTCACACGATGGACAGCCTCACTCAGGTAAACAGGGGTGTGTGGCACAACCTACATACCGAGTTTTCAAGTTTGCTAATAGGACATGCAACAAGTTCCACTCGTTCACCGTTCATTATGGTCTGACTGCGGCACATTTGGACCGCGACAGTCAGATGTTATCAGGGCCCGTAATTTCTGCGCCACCCTGCAGCGGTGCGTGCGAGAGCGGTCCTAGCCACTAACTAACTAACTAACGCCACGGAGCACAGCCGGACCCTGTCCGCAGGCAGATGAGTGCAGACCACGTGTTCACACCCTGTTTTTTTAGTACACCTGTCTCTCCGCCTGAGTATCACAACTTCTCTCTTTCCTAAACTTTGTATACATTTCTGATCCCTCTCTTTGTCCACCTCACCCTTCAGGCATTCATAGCCACAGTGCTCTGCAGTATCCTTCGGAACACTTCGTGACACAAAGCTGCAGCGTACGTAAACACCAAGAACGCAGTGCAAGAAGACAGCAGCATACAAACGAATGTGGTGCATTCTCTGTGTAAGTAGCTCTAAAGCTGTATGGTTTACGGAAACTTGTGCTGGACAGAAACTGAATGCGTTCTGTTCGGAACAGTTTTCGCTCCGACAGACATTCGGCCGGTTACGTTCGCGCGCAGGTCTCCATGTGAAGCGTCCCGTATTGTTGCCCGATTTTAATCAAAACACTAAGACACAAACAAATTTTAAGAACTTCTCCGCAGTATCAAACTTTGTGAAAATCCATTCAGCTGCTCTCCGGACAGACACAGCGAAGCTATTGCAGGCATTTTGCATGAGAACGCGCACAAAAAGAACACCAGGTCTGCTGGCCGTCGTAACACACGGTCCGCGGACCACCCGTTGGAAAATACCCGCATGTGTGACTCGTTTCAAAAGTAGGTACGAAAAAGCCAACATATAACGAACGTCATGGTGCAGGGGTTTGCTTGAACAGCTGATAGTTATACAGGTCATGAGTGGGAGAATAGCGACAGACGGAAGAGGAGGTTCTCACGTTGTGATAGAAAGGCTCACAAACACAGCAATTAAAAGCACTGCTCAACATTACCAGATACAGTTCGATTTTTTGACGCAGCCAATGCCTACTGAATACGCAGTAGAATGCGCGTTAGCTAACAGATATTGGGAATTTAACGGCTCTATGGGGTAGGCGATACAGCCACGTTGCAACTCCCGGTGCGCAGTTCCGTGGCCATCACTGAATATCTGGCCAGTACACACATCGGTAACGTAAATACGAGTGTAATAAACAGGATATCGGGCTCTTAGCAAGCTGGTTGGTTATCAGTCTGTGAAATACAAAACGTGAGAGGAGACGGGTGAAGACGGGAGGGGCCACGGACTGTGTGTAATATGGGCTGAAGTGGCTCAAGATATGGCCAATGGGTTGCTCGGTCAGTCACTCCGTCAGTCTGGATGCTGAAGACACCGGTCTGCCCCGGATGTGACGTGGTACGCTCTTGTACTGTAACCATGGCTACCACCGGCCATCCTAATGAAGTTGTTCATTAGCATCGCCAGTCGCCCTTCATGCTGCAGAAGGGCGAACTTCCGACGGAAGAGCCATTTAGCGCGCATCTTGAAATGTTCGTGTTTTCTCTGAGCAGTGCAGAGTGACGATATGGTCAGCCCGTATGGGGCTACATCACAAGAAATTTGTACGTCGAACAACAAAACGGTCGTAAAAGATGAAGCTGGGAGGAATTCGAAAGCGGTCGTGGCCAGTATTACAATTGTACCGTTACAACTTCCGGGAGAAGCCGAATAAAACAACTAGGACCCTCACGACAGCCGGCCACCGCGTCCTCGAGTCAAGACTGATACATGCCGAATAGCAAGCAGGGGTGCCAACTCCGCCTGCAAAAAGTACAAGTGTACTTGGCCCACTGTTGCAGGGACCCCATCGTCACGGTTACTCGTATGAACAATGTGGGAGTCTTCAGACCTCAACAAAATGTTTTTGAGTTCGGCGAAACGGTGATTATGAACGGCGAGTGAACCTTAGGCCGTGGTTCTAGACCGGGTGCGTTCATATGCCGATTTGTCATCGCGCGGGACGGGCAGTGCTTGTCATCAAAATGACGTAAACATGTATTTGTGAACGCGCCCAGAAGCAGGTGGTGCAGGTGACAAGAGGCCTCATATGGGGACTCTCTACTGCAATGGTAGCTATATTGTTATTTATTGCTAGTGGGGTGGGACTGAGTCCCTTGTACTGCGGCCACTTCGGGCCTGTTGTACCAGCCCCAGATGATAGGTGAGGGTGATTGTGGAGCAATTGGTGGAATGAAGATTGGCAGGGGAAACCGAAGTACTCGGAGAAAACCTGCCCCAGCGCCACTTTGTCCACCACAAATCCCACTTGACCAGACCCGGGATCGCGGCCCAAGGGTAGCTATAAGTGCCACCTGCTTCAAAGTACAGCAATCCTGAATTTCATCTCCGTCCCTCCGCCGGGTCAGAGATGAGGCCCCCTACTTGAAGATCCAGGATGTGATAATGTGCTGCCTGTCAGGGCTATCGCACAACTCAAGTATGGAGTAATGGTGGAATGGTGACTATCAGGGGAAAGCAGAAGAAACTGAAGTACAAATGTCACGGGAAGATATTCGCGTTCACAAAGCCAATCCGTGTGTTCAGCTAAACTGTAATTGAGTGGCGGTTTGTATGTATGCATGTTGCAACCCGTTTGAAGCACAGTGGTAACTACACGCACCATTTACTTTAACATTACAAAACTCTGAATTCTGTCCACAAACTGTATTTATATATTTCATATAGTTCTCACAATGATAAGCGACAGTTGGCCATTGTAGTGGAGACGCGGTGTGTTTTCTGTGAGGTGAGGCTGTCATTCCCGCAGTACTAGCAGTCACACGCCGTAAGCAGACTGTGACAGTGTGCCCTGAAGATGGAAGCAGAAATGTCGGTATCCACCTGTGAAACCACGGCGTACGTACGTGCCAGGAGACAGCCACCAGCTGCATGGCCTGGCGACCTTCCTTGCAATTAGCATTAGAAAGCGATTGACTAAAACAGTTGAAACGTGACAGCGCTTCTCTCTTGTTCACTCTCATCAGCCTTGAGAAAGTACGCGACGCTCACGGCAAACTAGCCTTAAACATTCCTGCTACAAGGTCGGCCATTCTGCGAAGATGGAAACCGGGTATTCTCGGTGAGCCGAGATTTCAGACGGCTAGGGACATGCAGTTTCGCTTGCAGTACGACTGTGTTCAGGTTGGTTCTGCGGGTCCACACAGACTCCTAAGCAATGGGTACCAGGACTTGAAGCGGACCGAGGTTAAGAGTGCATGGAGGTTTGCCTCCACCGCCTAAGTGGCTTCACACCGCAGTTCTTAGCGGCAATGTATTCACGTTAACTGTTGTTCGGACAGGACGATGCAAGCCGAAGCACCGGCCATCTCCCTATGAGTCGCTTTTGCGCGAAAGCAGCCACTACTGACAGTGTTTCCATGGCAACTGAGGCAACTGCCGACACTTAACGCCCAGTTAGGTCACGGGGTCAGTTTTCAAATATCGAACCCCAGCATGTGGGCCGCTTTCACTCTGAGCTGCGGGTTCGAGCCCAGACCGGCCACGGCATGAACAGATGCCTCGTTCCGTTCAGAGGAAAGCAAGCAAGCAGTACAAGCACGGCGTGGGTACAGGAGAACACAGAAACAAGTTTCCCTTGTGTCCGCCCTCTGAGGTTCCCACTAGCGTCTGGGACGTGACGCCGTGTAGTGGCGTAGCCCCAAGCACAGCAAGACGCATGCTTCTACCAGACTACACGGAGTCACGTCCCAGAAGACAGTACACTTCAGTCTGACTTTTTAAAGTGGGAGACCACTTTCCAAATGCGCGTTACACAAAACAAGTAGACCTAAAATAATTTTGCTATTCGTCTTACGAGAGAAAAGAATCACTCCGAACGCTTTTCCCGAGTATGTTCATGAACTGTCGCTTGGCCGTAGACCGCTTGACGGACCAGCCGTGGCCTGCAGGCCGCAGCTTGAGGGCCCAACTCTGGCTGGTCCCATTGGAGATTCAGGTGCAGCGGTGGTGCTCTATATTTCCCACATTTTGTCTGAAGTAACAGCTAGATGGAGAGGAATCCTTCTTGTGAAGCTAACAGTGGCTCAGCTGCTCAAGATATTTCTGGCCTTTTATGTAGACTACCGTACTGACTTGGGCCCTCCTCCTCTCCAGGAGAGCCCAGTTCTCACATTCAAAATCTTTCAAGACGTTTCATCCAAAACTGTATACGCATTTCCGGTCTATGCCATTCGCCCTACATTGCCTCTGTTACGTCACCCGAGTGGGCTGTCCGTGCAAAAGTGAACCAGACGACGCCAACGCACCTTTCCCACGCGTGACGAAACTTGAGAACCTCTTCAGGTGGGTGTAGGAAGAAGGTGAAGAATAGAAACGGACGAGGACTAATCGCGGTGCGTTCGCCTTTCTCTAGTGTTCCGTCGGCTGTTTAACGGCGCCCTCAGCATCCAGATTGTATAGCGTACGTGAATGGTGAACTGGAAGGGACTCGGAAGGAAACAGGGGCGAGGAAACCCCGGAGGAAGTCAGTCAGGATAGGCGGTGTGCCGGCCGAGGTTCTAACCGAGCACCTCCCGAATGCAAGTGTGCGGCATCACCTCGGCGGGGCAACGGACGCTCCAAAAGTTCGGTCTCATCTCGACCTAGCGCGTGTGACACAGAGTACTACAAGTTTCGGCCGCGTGTGTACACATTTGTGGGACAGCCTATAGCTTGGAATGTGATGTCGTCACTGGCAGCTGCCGGACACTCAGGAATGTCCTGAGAAGGGCGAGCAGCAGTTGCGAGAGGCACAATCGAAAGAATGAAACGATCAATCGATTTTACGGAGCTGAGAACATCGTGACGGGATTACGTATCAGGAAGATATCGGTGAGCCACGTTGCCAACTTAGCCCAACTCACCAAATGAGGACAGTGGGTACAGACAGCGCACACA